CCCGAGAATACGTTTAGAGATACAAAGAAGATCAGCAACGATTGATCTGCTCTTCAAACGTTGCCCGAAACAGAAAAACCCGAGAAAGAAGATGAACAGTAAAAGATGGAGAAGAAGTAGCAAGTTTCTTCACCAACAAGGCTCACAAATCTCTCAAAAATCAATTAGATTTTCGTTTTTTTTTTGTCCAGACGTTTTGGAATGTTTTTTAACACTCCAAAAGTCAAAAGGTGCAAAGAATCGGAAGTTTTTTCCCGAACATACACGATTTTTCGTTCATTTTGAACAACTCAGAAAAATCAGGCGGGTCGCTCATTTTCCGAGCGGTCGCTCATTTTCCAGTTTTGTTCATCAGAGAAAATGAGCTACCCGCTCATTTTCCTAACCGGTCGCTCATTTTCCAAGCGGTCGCTTATTTTCCGAGCGGTCGTTCATTTTCCCAGTTTTGTTTATCAGAGAAAATGAGCTACCCGCTTATTTTCTTAATCGGTCGCTCATTTTCCAAGCACTCGCTCATTTTCCGAGCGGTCACTCATTTTCCCCATCAAAGAAAATGAGACACCCGCTCATTTTCCTGAACGGTCGCTCATATTCCGAGCGGTCGCTCATGTTTTGAGCGGTCGCTCATTATTTTCAGTTTTGTTTCATAGGGAAAAACGAGCTATCTTCAATATCTTCCGACTAATCCTTAACACTTTACCAATTCACGACACGTCTTTTACAAGCATTTTACTCCTCCACCACACTTGTAATACACGTGAAACAAGAATCCTTTGAGAGATTTTAAAGTCCATCAATCTACTCTAAAATAACTAACAGATGAGTTGGTAAGAAGTATGGTATACACGTCGAGAGGTTGTTGTTCGACTCCTTGTCCGCTCAATTGTCATCCGTCAAGTTACGTCTGATTTACCTCTCTTATGTATGTGTTGTGGATTCATAACGTGGACATAATTTATCCCGTCAGTGTAGCAGTTTGGAATTTGGGGATCCCACGGTATAAAAAAGTAACGAAAAAACCTTATTCCATTGGATTAAACATACATAGGTGATTTCAATGTCTAGAGTGATCTTGAGCATATTGTTAAACTCAACTCAAAACTAAATCCTTTGGAAATCTCCTTTTGCGATGGAAGTGATGATACCTTAATCATATCTTCTTGGTGTCCCTTTTCTTTATCAAACCAAGAAAAATAAGATGTGCACTATGAAAAGAAAATGGTCGAGCAAAATAATGTTTTTTTTATTTATTCAAATTTTTTAATTTCAATAGCAATAAAATTAATATCTATATATAGCATAAAATATTATGACAAAAGAGACAAATTTTCGAATACAAAATGATCAGGTAAATTGTGAAGAAAACTTTTTCCTATGTTAAATTTAGGTGTCTATTGATTGTGCTCCACTATGATTTTTAAAAAGGGAAATATTTGAAAATTCATTCCGTAAAAAAATAATATCTATTAAATAGAGAATCATTATATAATTTTTTTTTACCAAATGAATTTTTATATAGTGATATAAAAAATATAGTAAAACTCAAAGGATATTGAGATACAAAATATATTTTCTTTAGATCATTAGTAAAATAAAAGTGATTTATTGATGGGTCTGCCATTTCTGTTAATGAGGACAATGGTCGTTGTCTTCGTTCTTCTCAACCTCGCACAAGTATTTCACCAGACCCGGAGGGGAAAACAACAGCAATTGGCGTGTCCTTATCTCCAAAGAGAGCTCTTCGTGCTGAATTACTCAAGAGCCGATATGCTGACACAATCCTGAAAGCCAGAAAAGTCCTTGGCCACACTAGCAAAACCGATCCAAAGAATAAACAACAAGAGAAAAAAGAGCTAGAAAGAATGCAGCACAAAGAAAAACCTGGAATTGAAGCTAAGGTTGCAGTACGAAAGACGGGGCAGCAAATGCAACGGGAGAGACAACGGCTCGCTCTACAGAAAATGGAAGAAGCTGCCAAGATAGAACAAGAGGGAAACAGGGTGGTGGAGAGGGAACTGGAGCAACTCGCTCTCCGTAGTATGAGAAGTCCTCGGCTGCTCGAGAAGCTTGGTCTATTTCTGAAAGAGGATGATGGTCTCGATGATACTGAGTCAGAATCGTCTGTTTTGGTGGCAGATCTTGAGGAAGGGGAGATATTCTAGAGTTCTTTGATTGCATACTCTGATGTATATTTTGACCTGATGCATATATATAACAGTGAATCCGTTTTAGAAACAAATCACATTCTCATATTCTCTGCCTTTTTCCTTCACACCCTTAATGCTAAACATGGAGAAGAAACAAGTAGTAAACTTACAACGATCAATGTCTTAAATTTACATCACATACAACAACGCATCAATCTCATGTCTATGTATCTGAAAAACATCAGAACCCAACAATACACCAATCTCATTCTAGAGCACAATATAGTTCATATATTTCTAATTGAAAACAAGTAATTGGTAGAGGTCGCAGAAACCATAACACTTCACATCATTCAGCAATGTTTAAATTTACAAACATGGAGCTTGGTAGAGATCGTAGAAACACCTCTGTTAAAATCTGCACATACAATTTTAACGACAAACGGAGTTGAATTATCTTAAATCAAACGGCGAACCGAATCTGTAATCAAAGCCATAAAATCGAATAATAATAAAAACTATTTATTTTTTTAGAAATTTTATAACTTTGTTGTTTCAAAAACGTTTTCTGGGTTACTCAAACTTCTTCACATATTTTCATATATCAACATAACACACTTATATAATTTGTTCATACATAGGTAGTTGGGAAAAATCAAACCGGCATTAAAATTGCTACATCAACTGATAAAAACATAACTTCCATTCAATCTTTTTTTTTTTTTGATAATCAACTTCCATTCCATCTTATCTTCATGCTTGGACAAGTAGACTCTGCAACAGTCTTCATGGACAAGCAGCTTCTTTATGTTATTGTCAGAACCGTACACCGCATCCGATAATGTTGTAAGGAGTACAACTAAATTGAATGAGTGCATCACCGTAGCACCTTTCTGCTTCAAGATCATTGTCTTCGCTTGTGAAGACAAGGTCAAACATACAAAGGTGATCCCCTAAAAGCTCATAGGGATACCTCATCCACAATTCATGCTTAAAGACCAAGCCGCTATCTCTGGCTACGAGGCTGCAAGACATAACTCCATCGTAGACCCCTTCTCCGCTTGCAAGCACAACGCATGCCTTGAACCGTGAGAATGATGAAAGGGGCCTCTGACCCAAATGGATGGTCAGGGAACTTCCACGGACTTGACGAGTGAAGTATGTAGGCACGTTTTCACCCGGTAAGAATGCATACTCGCAACTTGAATTCAGGATGATTTCACGTGCTTCTGGCTCCAGCCTCAAGCAGTTACCGAAATCGAGAACCATATTCGAGTTTTGGAAAGGGTTAGATATTGTCCGTAGGGACGCACAATTTTCTGCAAAAAGAACAACTAGCGAACTCGGAAGCTCAGGTAGCTCTATGAGATTTCTGCAGTTCTTGAGGAAAAGGTATCGCAGCTCAGAGAGCTCTTTGATGCAATCTGGAATGCTCACGAAGTTATTATAGCTTAGACGCAGGACCTGAATACTCTTCAGAGTTTGTGAGAATGTATTGCGAGAAATGCTTGATGCAGCAAAATGAGACCAAAATGTATGCGACATTTTCCCTAGAGAGAGATACTTGACGTTTGTAGACATGTTTGGAATACTTCTCAAACTCGAACACCCGCTCATATACAAGGAATCGAGAGATGTTAAGTTGATGTTTGTCGGAACATACTCAATCTTTGAACAACCCCACATGATCAAGTCCTTGAGTTGATGAAGTTCACATATCGAGGAATGAAGCGTGACTAGACTCTCGCATTGAGAGATATCCAATTTCTCGATATTAATTGCTTTTGAAAGATCAGGAATTTCTTTCAGTTTCTTAGAGAAACTAAGATCCATGAGTTTAAGGCTTCCAAGGGGCTGAAAATGAGCATAGCAAACAAGACATATCAGTGTATCATAATACATCAATTATATTGTTTTAGAGATGTCAATTACACCCGAAACCCGAAGTCCAGTCCGAACCCGCCCGAAAAAATTAAGGATATGGGCCTAAAAATATAGACGCGATAAATAAATGGTAGGGTCGGGCCGGTTCGAAAAAATTCAGGCTCGAATCAAGTCCGGCTCGCCCGTTTAGCCCAAAACATATCGAATGATTATATTTTTATTCTCATATAACATAAAGAAATCTTTTATTTATGTTATATATATTTATATATTTGATGGGTTTGATTAATATATATACTAAAATTATATATTATTTTATTTCTAAAATCATATATACATATATATATTATCGACTATTTTGATAAGATTTTGATCTAATCATATATATATATATATATATATATATATATTACCGACTATTTTGATAAGATTTTGGTCTAATTTATATGTATAATATTTTATGAATTTAATTTAAAATTTTATATCAATATTTTTTATATTTTTATACCGAATATATATTATATATATTAAAAAATATTAGATAAATTTGTATATTTTAAAGTTTATATAGTTATTTTTTTACTTAAAAGTTCTTAATTGTAGTCAATGTGGATAAAAAAATTTATCTTTATTTTAATATATTCATATGGGATGTAGTGGTAGACAATTAATCAATTGAATACTTTTTTCAATTTTGTTTTTATTTCGTTGAATGTTTATATTATTATTATTATTATTATTATTATTATTATTATTATTATTATTATTATTATTATTATTATTATTATTATTATTATTATTATCACAAAAAAAATATTTTTATTTAATAAAAAATCTGAAGCCCGGCCTGAACCCGTCCGAAGTCCTGTAGGGTCGGGTTTCGGGCCATTGATGATAGACCCGAAAAATAAATGGGCGAACCGGCCCGATCCAAAAAAATTTAGGCCCGAATTGAACCGGCCGGGTCCGCCCATTTTACACCCCTATGTGTACCATATCTGAATCTAGAAGGTTAAAACTGATGTTTTGGCTCTAATAAGCAAAAATTATAACTTGCTTTTGCTGAAGAAAAAACAAAATTGTAACTTACTTGTATTCCTTGCCAAAGTTGCTCAAGCTTGCTATGCGGCATACTGAATTTCACCAGAAATTCAGGATGGAAACTAGAAGGTAAAGTCGCCAATGGATATGCACTCCAATACATCAACCTAAGTGTATTAGGTAGATAAACCATACCTTGAGGTAAGTGTAATTTATTGTTTCTATCAGTTCCATTGTCATAGATTCTTAAGAACATAAGGTTATACAAGCCTTGGAAGGTCGTCGCGCTAATAACCAACTCGTGTTGCAATTCAGATATGTCCAAAGCTATACCTAAAATTGCCCCGGTACCCTGCAAAATTACATACAAAGCATGAACAATTATTTTACCACACATTTAGATTACAATGACTTGTTTCAAATCATATAGAGAGGTGCATGAAATGTGTATGAAGATAAGGACTTACTTTGTTATGAGTAAGTACATCAAGAATCTCTTCAGCTTTAAGCAAAAATTGTCGTTTTTTGAGCTTTTTTGAGCTGACGACTTTTCTACCCATCTGTTGTAGCAAATGGTGCATGACAATGCACTTGTCGGTAGATATATCTATGAGAGATTTCTTTTCCAGGTTAAGGAGCCCAAGAGAGACCTCTAGGCGACTTTTATCGAGCAAATGCACAATTAGATCCTTCTTCTCACCATTGAACATGCATGCGATGTGAAGGAATATAGCTTTATCTTTCTCGTGTAAATCATTGTAGGCAGTCCTTAATATCCTCTCAATTCTTCCATCAAGACTTGTTCTGAGCCTAGACATGGTTTGTTTCCACTCATCTATGCTCTTTCCGCACAGAGATGAACCCAATACGCGGAGACCCAATGGAAGATTACCGCCAATCTTTGCTACTTCAATAGCAAGATCTTTAAAACCGTCTAGTGGGATGCTTTGTCCAAAAGCATATCGGCACAAGATCTCAAGAGCTTGTTGTTCAGATGGAAACCCCACCTTGTATGTAAAGTTGGTCCATTGTGCCTCCAATACTTGTTTATCTTCTGTAGTCACTATAATTCTGCTTCCGGAGCCAAACCATTCGCTTTGGTTAGCCAAGGCATTGAGTTGCTCTACATGGTCCACATCATCAAGAACAACAAGCACTCTTCTCTCCTTTAGCCTCTCTTTCGCTATGCCTAAGTGCTTTACCCTTGTATTCTTTTGGTCGAAGATTTCAGATAGAAATTGCTTTTGTAAACGCATCTTTAAACCATGATCGTCGAGATCGATTCTTCCGTACATTCCCTTGACGTTCTCCATAAAAATGCAAGATTGAAAGTCACCACAAATTTTATCAAATAAAGCTCTAGCAATCGTCGTCTTGCCAATACCTGGAGGACCCCATATTCCTACCATCTTCACTTCGTCAGGGTCTTGGCTCAGCATAGAAGACAATTTCTCCAAGTGTGCTTCCATTCCAACGAGTCCATCAAAATCCCTTGGCGGTGTATCATTCAGTTTCGCCGATATATCGGAGGCAATCCGTTCAATCATTTTCGCTTCGTTATCCCTAACAATATCACCAACCAAATAAAATATAAAAATAAATAAATAATAAAATAAATAAATTTGACTTTGATGGGGTGGACTTTTGACTTTTTGCCACGTCACATTTTTGTTGATACATTTAATGTCGTTTATATTTAGGTATTTATTTACCAATTTTTAAAAAATATTAATATTTTATTGTTATAAATGATAAATACAATATTTACTAAAATAAAAAGAAATATAGAGTTTAAATTTGTAGGGGTTTTTATGGAATTCTCCCTATAATCAAATAAGATAGGATTTTACTTGTAAAAGATTGTAGTAATGAAAACGAACCATCTTTTAGAATGCTCGCCCTTTATATTCGCGGCAAATGTCAAGGCTTTGCTCCATATCTCCTTCTGCTCCTTGGGCATTCCTCGACAGGCTCGTTTGTATTTCCGTCCAAAATATCCTGTCTGCCTTCGAACATGATACGGATCAACTCCGTAGAAAACCGTCACCACTCTCTCCGGTTCCTTGCACCTTAAGATCTCCACCAGCTCGTTCAAGCACCATCTCGAAGAAGCGTAGTTCCTAGAGAACACGACAACCGAGACTCTGGATCCTCGTATTGCCCTCACGAGCTCATCGTTTATCACACGGCCATTTTTCATCCCATGATCTTTGAATGCCATGATTCCTACGCGATCAAACTCTTTAAGTAGATGGCTTAGAAAGGCTATACGGACGTCTTTCCCTCTAAAGCTCGGAAAGACGTCGTAGCTCCGAATGCAAGAAGAAGAAGAAGAAGCCGCCATGAGTGAAGGTAAAGAGGCCTTTTTCTCCTTGTTTGGTTCTCGGAACGTCAACCAAAATTTATAGGCCACAATGAGATGCTTATTACTCTTCTAATGCGCAAGTTGCATAAAATAAGAAGTTTATTATTTTTATAAGTATGTTTGGCCCGTTCCTTGAAGTTGGGAAACGTGACGACGTGCGTTCCATATTGTCTCTCCGATGCAATGACCGCTTCATGTACAAAGAAACCGATGTAAATGAATGGATAACCGATTCACTTTCTCTTTCCATATTTAACTGTAGATACATGAAGGTGTGTATCCATGTGCTTTGTTCTCTAATGGCAGACACTACTATATTGGATAAGAACTCCTTTAGGCAAATTCCATCCTATGAAACCCTCCAATTAGTGCCATTACATCTAAATTCTGTCAATGATAACGCAACAACAAAGGTCGAAATTGGGAATCTGAAACCTTAAACCGGTGAACTTTAACCGGAAGTCTTTTCGGATGCTCCAGCCGGTTAACCGTACCGGTCAACTTGGCTTCGCGATTCTTCAACCCAGTAAATCTTTAATGAGACCAGATAAAGACCCGAGCAACGCGGATGATTCTTTCAATAATTATTTTAATTATAATATTTATCAGTATAAATTTAATATAATATGATATGCACTATTTTTTATTTAGAAAAAAATAAATTATTATAAAATTATAGATTAAAAAACAAAATAAATAAATAATAGTATATTTCATACACAATATATAAAATCGATATCAATAATTTGTTTTGATTTTTCTCATGGTTATATATACATACATATATGTATATATTCATAACATAGACATATACATGCATATATAATATCTTCATCCACATATCCAAAATTATATCTTTTGTATATATATATCTACATACTTATATGTTTCGATCTGCATAATTATATTTTGTTAAATTTTTCTCCTTATTTTATTTTTTTATTAATCTTTTCTTCGTTTTAAAGTTTTTTCATTTTTTTTCATTTTAAAAATATCTCCCAGATTCGAATCCACTCTTGGCAAATCACATATTATAAAAAAAACATAAAATCACAAATATTATTATTCACCCAACAGTTGGTGGTCCAGTGGCTGAGATGTGACAGAGTCATCTTCAAGGTCCTGAGTTCGATTCCATTGATGGGGAGGGATGTAATTTGTGGACTAAAATGGTTCATATACAAAGGTTGGTCCCGGGTTTAGGATGGATGTAGTCGGACCGAAGGCACGAGGAACCATCCTGGTTATCAAAAAAAAATATCTCATTTAATTTTTTAAAATATTCTCATAAATATCTAGATAAAATAATTATTAATTAGTCTCACATTTTATATGTAATATACAAATCATTACCACGTATGATTAAAAATAAATAATTTTAAAAATAAACATAAAAAATAAATGGAAAAATTAACAAATAAATCTATGCATATATATATATACATATATATATATACACATATGTATATATAATATAGCTTTAAAAATAGATAAATTTTTATATAACTTATTACAACAAAAATATAAATATAAATTGGGAATCTGAAGAGAAGATCTTTAATGAAATTTTTCATTCTAAATTATTAATAATTTTTTTAATATTCATTTGTCATTGATATATACAACAAAAAAAAAACAATGATGTTTTGTATTTATTACTTGAACATTAAATAAATAAGATTATTTTGTTGTAAGAAAAGAAAAAATAGTTGAAATATAAAAAAATGGATAACAGATATAAAAAAACACTTTTGATTCGTATAGATTAACATTATTAATTATATTAAAATGAACAAATAAAAACTATCATGATTTAGGAAAAAAAAATAGAGGACGAGTTGAAATATTAAAAAAAAATGTGTATGAAATAAGAAGGAAAAAGAATACACGACTTTTCAAAATCATTCATCTAAATAAACTCCAGCCATCAATTAATCTATATACACCTCCATCTCCAATCTAGAGCTAAACATAAAAAATCTTTAATTTAAAAAACATTGATTTAAAACTTAAATCATGAAAAAATCCAAAAAAATATAGCAAATGAAAAAAAATAAAAACAATTATATTTTTATTAAACTATTATATCTTAAATATATCTCAATAAAAAGAAATAATGCAATTATACATTATATATAGCTATCCGTATATATATTTGATCTTATAAATATATTAACAATTGACTTTTATCCGCAAACCTATACTTCTTATATTTAATGTATAATAATTTATTATTTATTTACTTTGTTCCTAATTTTAAAAAATATTTATAATATTAAATTATTCTTATAAATATATTTTATATTCAATTTAAAACATATAAAATATTAATCATAACTTTTTTCTATATTTTATCTTTTTACTTTATTTATTTATTTTCGGATAATTGAAGTTTAAAATGAATATTTTGTAGTAGTCGTTTAGTGATTTTTTTTTTTGTTTTTTTAATTAAAGGCTTATTTGGATTTGTACATAGTTATAAAGAAAAATCTAGAGTTTTCCCGAGAAAAATAGAAAAGTATTACCACACCGGCTGCAAGAAATAAGTTACACGTCTTCAACATTTGATTTTATATATTTTTATATATACTCTCATGTAGAGGAGAATTATATTTCGAATTTGAAATAAATTTCGGACTAAAAAAATTTAAAAAATTACTTTTTGAAACAATGGAGGAATAAGAACGTCATATGACAAAAAGGAATGTTACGGAAAAGGAAAATTTTCATTATCCAAATCTAAAATTTGTATCAATAATCTAAAGGAAAATTCAAAAAAAAAACACCGATAGAAAAATATACGAATTTCTAATTTACCAAATAAATATATTAATATTTTTCAAAATCTCAAATAAATATTCAAAATTTTAACGTTGTGCCCCATCACCATGCACGACCATAATCATTCGTTTGATTTTGGGTTTTTCTTCGCAACAATCGTTCAATTTCGTAAGTTAAATAGTAATAGAGAAATGTTTTTGTGTTATTGATAATTGGAAGAATAGCAAAATACAATAGAATATTCTAAACATAATATTTAGGGTAAATCATAATCATATCAATGATGATATTCTAAAAATGATATCTTACTATATGCCCCCTGAAGATGAATCATCTATGATGAATTCAATCTTGTTACATAAAAACTGAAAACTGAAATTATGATCGTATTAAACGAATCATCTTTCATTTGGTTGTGTAGTTCAGATTTGAGTCGGTGTTGCTTGATAATGTTTGAAGAGTTTGAGAATTGTATTTTCAGAGGCTGATATGGCACGAAAGTGCGACACGTATGCGTGAATTGGGTTGCACGACAATGAAGTCGGCAGCGCAAAAAACTGCGGTGTATATAGCGGCTAGGCCGGAGAAAAAAAATGGGCGCAAAAGCGCGACACATAATGCGTGATAGTCTAGCAGCGGGACAAGAGAAGAGAATAAAAATAAGTGACGGAAATACGTGGATCGACGATCGGAGTTTTTCAATCGAAAGAGGCTAAAAGCCATATTTAAAGAGCTCACAACAGCTAGGGTTGACATTGATAAACGAATATCGTCAGAGAAAAAAAAAGAGTAGCACATCGGCTAGAGTTGACGTCGATAAACGAATATCGTCGTAAAAAAAAAGTAACACATCAGTTAGGGTTGACGGTGATGAGTACCGCCGTCGAAAAAAAAAGACTAGAAAAAAAATAAAAAGAATGAAAGATGATATTCAAGACGATGATACTATTAGAGTAAATCATCATCATTTTCATCGTCACTTTCGGATTTGACCACCATTATTGATGTGAAGAATAAAAAAAAATCTAGAACAAAAACCAAGCTCTGATACCATAATAGAGAAATGTTTTTCTGTTATTGATAATTGAAAAAAAATATCATAATATATAGCAAAATACAATAGAATATTCTAGGCATAATATCTAGAGTAAATCATAATCATATCAATGATGATATTCTAAGAATAATATCTTCCTATAAATAGATCATTTAGCATCAATTCAGCTTTTTTTTCAAGAATATTGCAGCCAGCCACTATCTACTATTTCTTGGATAATATAGCCGTGGCTGAACATCTTTGTACATTATAATACACCACAGTAAACCAAAAGTATCCAAACTTGGTGATCTAGTGGTAAGATAACATACAAAATATGATTTTATTCTACGTTTAAATCTAAACGTGAAGAAAGATATTCGCATTGAGCATTGAGCATACTTCCCCATCTATCTCATGAAAGATGTAATTGGATAAAAAATATAATGAATTTCCCAATTATAAAAAAAAACATACTTTGTTTTTTGTCTGTCCATGAAGAGATATGAGCATTGAGCATCCGAAAATGACACGTGGCTCTTCCCCTTTCCATTCTTCACGTGGCTCTTCTCACTACCTCCACTAATTTTTTTTCTTGATCTATTATTGAAATATAGGCTGATTGATTCATGTTCGTTCGAAAGGAAATTAGTATATGATGGTCTCTTCTTCTTTGCCTCATTCATTAACTTATGACATTTAAATACAAAACAAATTCTATTTTTTTTTATGAAATTGAATCCTACAGCTTATGAAGATATATAAAACTCTCCATTCTAAAACGTGGAATAAAAATGACCTAACCACTAATTCAGAGACTAAGTTAATCAATGGCTTTTTCATGGTTTCTACATATGTCTCACGTCAAGACATGTACAAAAAATGTTAGAATTGGATGCACAAAACCACGCCTAGAATAAGTACTTGTGAATGGTTTGTTCCAACTTGTCCTTGGAGACAACTCCGATGAAACCGTCGTTTGTGATGTCGCCGTCGTTGAATACCGCCGTGACCGGGCACTTGGAGAAGATCCCGTAGAGTTTCGCAATCTCGCAGTCACTGACTCTATAGAATTTGACCTTCCCGGGGAATTCTGAGGCCAACTTGTCGAGGACGGGGTGCATCGTATCGCATTCCGGACAGTGCCCGTTATGCTCGAATTCAACCACAACGGGAACTTTGGCACCAAGAACAAGGAGATCCCATTCCGAACCATCTATTTTGGGTACTGTTCATCGAGTTAAACCAGAGAGAGAGCAGAGATATCGTAGATGATCCATATATAGTCATGGATCTCAAAAACATATCGATCACTCTATATATAAGCTGCAAAAGTGATAAACAAACTAGGGTTTTCTTGCTTACCAAGCTTAATTAGGTTATCATCAACACCATACGGCGTCGCATCTGTCTTCATCAAGCGATTCGAACACGTTCCAACGAGAACTGAACCAATCAAGAGAATCACAACCATATATAATTTCGTTATCTGCATACTTTGTGTTTTTTTTTTTTTTTGCAAAAATCTCTTTTTTTTTCACGAACTCGAAAACAACTTTGCTTTGCTGCTTTTGGACAAGACAAAGGTTTTTTTCCTTGCCTGAAACGAACCCTTGGAATCCCATGTCTATAAGGAATCTCGGGTCGTTTTGTCAACGATGACCAAGCACCACATCCTCACCTATGTAGTCTGTGTCTTGATTAGCTGTTTATAATAGTTATTTAATTTATCCATTGGTTTTAAATTAATCCATGTTTCGCATTAAAACCCCGAAATATTAATTAGGAAGACTTCAAATACATCCGAAATCATGAAACGCGAATTCTTGGACTGACTCTCCTTTGAAGTTAAAACCTGCCCAGGTTATGTTTTTTTTGTATTTTAAAACCTTAACGCCATCTAGTTATCATACAATTAGTTGTATGGCTTACACCATAAATTCGAAATACAGGATTCTTGGTTTTCATCATCCATTACAACAAAAATTGTTAAGAGTTAGAAAATATAGTATTTGTTTTCCTTTAGGTCATGGGTTCGATTCTAATGGGATGGATGTAATTTCTGAATCAAAATGGTTCATATACAAAGGTATGTAGTCGGCTCGAAGGTTTTGGGAAACCCTGGTTATAAAAAAAAAACATAGTATTTGTTTGGTTGAGAATATAAAAACCACATAACCTTATTTAAATTTTTATGCGCATTTCATAGTTGCCGTATTTCCTACACATTTTACCAAATTACTGAGATTTCTTTTATGGGTTTTCTTACATATAAAACTGAATACGACTTGCATAGTAATATGGGTAGCTACTAGTATATAAAGAAATAATAACAAAAAGAAAGATTCCGACTAATAGTTTGCATTTTTTTTTGTTCGGTCCAAATAATACGTTGACAACTGGAGGTATGTTCGGGTGGTCGTAGAGTGGTGGACTTTGCACCTTACCATTTGGACTAATTCTTAATTTCGTTACAAATTACAATAAATGATATCAATAATATGAAGATTTTTATTCGTGTCATAAAAGACATCATTTGTCTGAACAGGCAATATAGCACAAATACCCTTACTTTGCTACATAGATTTCACGGACTACCCTCCAAAACCTTAAAATTTTGGAAAAAAAAATAAAAGGAACAAAAGACATAATTAACCATCTCACAAAAGTAACGTGATATTTCTCTCTTTATTTTGAATTCATCTCTCTCGTTTTCATTCTTTGATAACTCTTCATTTCTTTCTTAACTTTCTCTCTCTACTCTTATATTTCTCCCAACTCTTTCATTTTCTCCCTTCTCATTTCATTTGTATACATAAAAAAACAAACGAAAAATGATTATTTCGTTGAGCATATCCTCACCGACGACCTCATATCTTCTTCTTGAGTCGGTCTAAAACAGAACAAATGACAAAAACTGAAGGTAAGTTCATTAATACAAGAGATTGGTTCGATGCATAAACTTTGTGTTTTGGGTTTGAGTTTTATGATTTTTTGAGTGAATCGTGTATTTTTTTTATGAAAATGAGATAGATGCATAGCAAATTTTTCGAAGAATATGCAAGAGGCGCATATTTAATGCCAAATAAATGTTTGGAGCAATAATGGAACAGATTGACAAAGGTACGTTACATTGGTTACACCGTCTAAAATTTAATTTTGGTCACACTGGTCACACTGGTCACATTGGTCACAGAGGTCACACTGGTCACACTAATCATACTAGTCACACCGTTTAAAATTTGTTTTGGTCACACTGGTCACATTGATCACACTAGTCACACTGGTCACACTGATCACACTGGTCACACTAGTCACACTGGTCACACCGTTTAAAATTTGTTTTGGTCACACTGGTCACACTAGTCACATTGGTCACACTAGTCACATTGGTCACACTGGTCACACTAGTCACACTGGTCACATCGTTCAAAATTTAGTTTTGGTCACACTAGTCATATTAGTCATATTGGTCACACTAGTTACACTAGTCACATTGGTCACACCGTTCAAAATTTAATTTTGGTCATACTGGTCACACCGTTCAAAATTTAGTTTTGGTCACACTGGTCACACCGTTCAAAATTTATTTTTGGTCACACTGGTCACACTGGTCACACTGGTCACTTGGGCACACTGGTCACACTGGTCACACCGAAAAATTTTAAAATTCACGCGAAAAATTTAACTTTTTGTGGTGGAGGGAGTTTTAAAAATTTTAAAATATTTAAATTTTTTCCTAGGGAACCGAAAACTGTTCTCTCTCTTCTGTTTCTGTCATTGGGACCTACGCCAATGGGTATTATGGGAATAACATAATTATAAGGGTATGTTTTGAACTAACTTTTTTATTTATTTTTGAAGGAGTATGCCTTGAAGTCTTTGTAGCATAATAGGAGCATTTTTGATAAAAGTCCGTCTGAACACTGAACACTAAAAAACATTCTATTAAAAAATGTTTTTCAATGAAATTGGTCACACTAGCAAATCGATGTCCGGAAACAAGAACATTTAGATTTTGTTTTTGGAAGATTCAGTGAATTCCGGCAGCGGTTCCTGATGTTATGGAACTGATTTTCAAACGTTGATGGAGTAATGAAATGGGTTCTTTTTTACGTACACAGATCCGTACTCGATCTTCTCTGTGGCCTAATGGTTCCACAAGTTTTTAGAATCTGGGCCGTTCATTACAATGTTTGTTGTTCCCGTGCTTGGGTGCTTGGGGGCTTATTTGACTATTTTCTTCTTCATGGCATCCATAATAAATTATAGAAACTAATGGGGCTACTTTGAAATTTCTGGTAATATTTCCAACTGCGACCAGAAAAATATCAGTACCTCTTCTCGTGGCTCTTAAAAGTCTCTCCCTTTGAATTTTGATTCATCGTCGTCTTCTCTCTCGCCATCAGATCCTAAAAAATCCCTAGTTTTTTCACGTTTGTCGTTCATCAATGGCTGCTTCAGTTGCATTCTCCATTTCATCTCAACCTTCTGTTGTTTTTTCCTGCAAAATTAGTAGACCATCTTTCTGGGTTTCCTCCAAATGTTCCAAACCTGTCTCCCTTAGTGCCTCCGCGTTTTCCGTCGACAAGCCCTCGATTTCTGTCTCCGAGGAATCCCCACTTCGGACAAAGGTGATTTCACTAATCTGTCGCCTTTTCAATCGTTTTGCCTCTGTTTTTACATTGAATTTTCATCTGTTTTTCACGATATGCTTGGATTAAAAGCAAGGGCCGAATTGCGTAATTGCATTGATTTGTGTTGAATTTTTTCAGCAGTAAAGCTGATGATTATGATCCAAAGATTAGCTCAATTGGAGTACTTAGGAGCTCTTGGTTTAGCGCAAATGGCTCGTCCCTTTTGGTGTATAAGAGCTTTCACATAGTCACTATGATCCCAGAAGTTAATATGTCGTCTCCTTCCTAAAATATATATGAATGAATGTAGAACTATTGGAAGTCCTTATTGATGGAAAGTTGAAGATGTCATCTCTAATTTGATGAAAAGTTAAAGTTCTATAAGGCGTAATCCATTGTTTTTGTGGTTAAACGTGTTTGTGCTGCTTTGTTTCAGACAAGCAAGTGGCAGTGGAAGTTCAAGGAAAACTCTATCAACATTTATTATGAAGAACATGAGAAAGAGGGATCCGAATCATCCAAGAATATCCTCATGATACCAACGATATCGGATGTTAGCACGGTCGAGGAGTGGAGATCTGTGGCTAGGGACATTGTACAGCGTGACGGGGGATTCAACTGGCGGGCAACTATTGTAGATTGGCCTGGTCTCGGATTTTCCGATAGGCCAAAGATGGATTATGATGCAGATGTCATGGAGAAGTTTGTGGTTGACTTCGTCAATTCGCCTGAGAGCCCAGTAGCCCAGGCAGGTTAGTGTCACAATACAACCATATTTTCCCTTTTGTGTGAGAAGCCTTGAAATGCTTAATGGCGTCTGCATTCATCGCGTAATATATCTGTTTTGGTGTGTTCGGGTTTCCATATCATATCTTCGGATATCATTTATTGATTGGAATGCTTTTGGATTCTTAAGCTTTGTTTGCTGTTGCATTGCACGTATAAGGAAAAGATTTAGTTGTAGATTGCTTGTGTACCTATTTCGCCATCTTTCTTCCTCCTTGTAAATCAAATAATGCTTGTTGAGAATCACACTCTGTTTCGTATTGTTCAAATAGCTGATAGCTCGGTCAGGCCGTCGGTTTAATTTTCTTTTTAAAACTTTCAAATATCATGGGCATGATGATCTTGATTCTGACCTTGAAATGTTTCAAGATATTCATTTATATATATGTATATATATATATATATGCTACAATGGCCAAATATTCCCAGTTTCCTTTCGAGTTAACATCATATGGTGCCTGGTGCCTTTTTGTGTATGACTACTTCTATGCCCGGGATTCCATTTCTCGTCTGTGTTTTTTATCTTCAGCACAAAATGGTTTGGAAGTATCATGTGATCATTTCATGTTTTACCTGAAACAGGCAATGACTTGGCAATCATCGGGGGAGGGCATGCAGCAACTCTAGCTGTTCGTGCTACCAAACGTGGGCTACTAAAACCATCAGCCATTGCCGCTGTTGCACCTACTTGGGCTGGACCGCTTCCTATCGTTTTTGGCCGAGACGATAGCATGGAAACAAGGTATGCTTATCTTCATGTCATATCTTTCTATTAAGAAAAAGAAATAACTCCTCCAAGCACTGGTTTATCGAATAGGTACGGTCTCCTGAGAGGAACCCTAAGGGCTCCGGGGGTCGGATGGATGATGTACAACATGCTTGTAAGCAACGAGAAATCGATACAGTCTCAATACAAATCCCACGTTTATGCGGACCCTAGCAACGTCACAGACCGCATAATCCAAAGCAGATACGATCTGACGAAGCGAAAGGGCGCCCGGTATGTCCCTGCGGCTTTCTTGACGGGCCTTCTCGACCCCGTTTCGTCCCGGGAAGAGTTCCTTCAGATTTTTGCCGAGTTGGAAGGTAAATTACCGGTTCTTGTCATGTCGACGGAAGGATCTCCGAGGAGATCAAAGGCGGAGATGGAGGCACTCAGAGGGGCCACAGGAGTGAGTAAATTTGTGGAAGTTGAAGGTGCTCTCTTACCTCAAGAAGAGTATCCTTCCATTGTCGCCCAAGAGCTTTACAACTTCCTGCAAGAGAGTCTTGGTCCTAAGTAAATTGGAGCCACTATTTACCATTACCAATGCCAATATACAGGGTTATTTTAATTTCTTTTTTAAACTCGTTTTTTTGACCAAATAACGCTATGGAAGAATATGGGACCGTTTAACAAGTTCAGGATTTAACGTGTTCAATTTTGCAAGTTTGGGAATTAATAGGCACCTCTACAAGTTTAGGAATTAATATTACTCCAAAATACAAGTTCAGGAATTTTTAGGGTTTTTTTCCCTTAAAAATTCAAGGAAAAATCATAGATAACTATCAAATTTTAATATATTTTTTTCACTTTTAAACGCACACTTAAACTTTAAATTTTGGTACAAAATTATTCAACTTTGGAAAAATGACATTTTTCTACACCGATTGTTTAAAATGTGACTTTTTCCTACACGAACTTTTAATTTGACAAAAAACTATACCAAATTATCAAATGTGCCAAATTGATACACGAACTACTCAATTTAACTTCAATTTTCTACACAATCCGAAAACAGTGTTAAATGTCCGTTAACCGATGACGTGATACGCCACGTGACGTCTGACATGACACGCCACATAGAAAATTTTGTCATGTCAGCATGCTACGTCAGATTTTAAAAAAATACAAAAAATCTAAAAAAATTACAAAAAAATAAAAATAAAAAATAGATTAAAAAACAAAAAAAATCCGAAAAAAAAACTGGAAAAAATAAAAAATAAAATAAAAATAAAAAGTAAAAAAATACACATATATACATATATATTTATATATATATACAAATACAAATATAAACATACATACTCCTATATATGTATATATACTTATATATTTTTTATTATGTATATATATATACATAGGAATATTTATGTTTATATTTGTATTTGTATGTGGATATATATATATATATTATTTTGTATGTATGTATGTACATATATTTATATGCATATATATATATACATATATACATGTATATGTATTTATATATATGTATATGTGTATATATATAAATATACTTGTATGTATGTATGTATGTATGTATATATATTGGTATAAATGCATGTACATATGTCTATATTTTTTATTTGATATATATAGACATATATATATACATAGGAGTATTTATGTTTATATTTGTATTTGTATGTGGATATGAATATATATGTATATATATGTATTTTTTATTTTGTATGTATGTATGTATATATATATACATATATATACGTGTATATGTATTTATATATGTATATGTGTATATATATAAATATAATTGTTTGTATGTATATGTATATATATTTGTATAAATGTATGTATATATGTGTATATTTTTATTTTGTATATATATAGATATATTTTTATATAGGAGTATATATATTTATATTTGTATTTGTATATAGATATGAATATATATGTAGGAGTATATATATATTTTTTAAATAGGAGTGTATATATTTTTATATAGGAGCATATATATATTTTTTAAATTTTTTCGATTTTTTTCAGATTTTTTCAGATTTTTTTTAAAAATCTGACGTGTCATGCTGACATGGCAAAATTTTTCATGTGGCATGCCATATCAGATGTCATGTGGCATGCCATGTCATCAGTTAACAGACATTTGACATCCAATTCGGATTGTGTAGAAAATTGCAGTTAAATTGGGTAGTTCGTGTATCAATTTGGCACATTTGATAATTTGGTGTTGTTTTTTGTCAAATTAAAAATTCGTGTAGAAAAAAATCATATTTTAACGGTTTGTGTATGAAAATGTCATTTTCCCTTCAACTTTTAATTTTTTTTTAAAAAAACTCCGATCGCTATAAACGCTGTTAAAAATATTAACGGTTGACTCTGGTACATCGTCTTTGACTTTATTAACTAAATATTTTTTAAAAATAATTGTAAATAATAATAATAATAGTTATTAATCATAATAAGCCTTAAATGAAATTTATAATACATATGTATACACATTTATATATATACATACCTATACATACAGTATATTATATACATACATTTATATACATAATATATCATATATATTTATTAGGTAATTAAAATTTTATTATATTTTATATATTACAATTCTAAGTTTTATATTATTATTTTGATTTCAATAATATTATTATCGCGGTTAAAAAGAAGAAAAAAATGAATATGTTGACACTGCCCTCCCTCATTCATTTATTATATAGCTATTTTTTGTCATATGTCATTGTCTTTTCCCCCCGGATTCAGTGTGTGTCTAAGCGCCTTTGTGCAAACATGTTCAACCATACGAAATTGTTTTTAAAAAAAAGTCATAAAAACGAACAAAAAAGATTATATATATATACACACATACATATATATATATATATATATATATA